ATGTGGATTTAGCATTTCACTTCTTGGTGAGCTGATCTGGAACGTAACTGCCATGATGAAGTGCAAACTACAGTGTTAGTGTGTAATTTACTTTAGGTTCATTTTGTTTCATGATACATTGGTAAACATTCTTTTTATACACGTGAAATGAAAAAAAAATGCAACTCTAAAAAAAAAAAATGCTAAATCAAGTAAACAACAATTTATAGCAGTATAATTTTGGATTTGTGTAGCTTTCCTATAATATGACCACATATGAGTAGAAAAGCAGACAGTTGCATGCAACATGGTTAACCCCCCCACCCCAAAAAAATAGAGAAGAAGTCAACAAATACATCTTACCTTCAACAGTTTCAGCTCTCTTGAATCGGAAAAAGCGGGGAACATCTCCTCATACTTCTCGATAGCCAACTGCAAACACAGTTCGGCGTGAATTGAAATATTCAAGTCATGCTAAAAATAAGGCGCGCGCGTGTGCGTGTGCGTGTGTGAGAGACCTTAGCGTTGAGCTCGTCCACAATAAAGTGACACAGTGAAGCCTTGAAGAAGTATTCTTTGGCGTTGTACTTCAACAGAGGATTGTCCATGGTGCTCATGGCCACCTGCAACACGTGCACGTGCGCACACTGAGTGTCCAACCTGCTTCATTGCGCCTCCTCCCTTATAAACACGCGGCAATTGCTTTCAACACAAAGGGCGATTTCTTTTTTTTGTTTCAGCATTTTTATCGCACCATTGACCAGGAAACGAGTCTAAACTGACCACAAGGATCACCTGAAGCGGTCCAAAATGGCAGCGCGCGGGCTAGTTCCTTATCTGGACATGGAAGGAGACGGCATCCATATTCGCACTTTGGACACACGGAGTTATCAGAGGCTAGAAAATGAATTTGAGCCGGCGTGTTCCTTTAACATGCAAATTCGGGGCTCCGCCGTACCCCGTCTTCACCGCTTCCGAGACTGTTGGGGGGCGGGAACCCGTCTTCCGTGAAGTGCTGAAATGAAACACCCGAGATGCCACAAGATGGCGCCAAAGCATACAACAGTGCATCGGCGCACGCAACTCTGACTAAAACAGGGGGCTCATTTCTTTCGGGTATTTTGCTCGCACCCTTGTTGGGAGTCGAACGATTCGAGTTATTCGAGTGACGGTTTTAGCAGACATAAAACATCCGTCTGAACCGCTACCTGTTCATAGATCTCGATGGCCTTCTGGTACTGTTCCAGCTGGGCGCTGTAGTGCCCCACCTTCAGCAGGCACTTGTTGGCCGAGCTGAAATGACACAAGTGAGCGTTTGTGTTTACCGATGCGCCGGTCGCCGCACAAAAAGTACCTGTTTGACTCTTCGCCTTTGTAGTAGTCGGCCGCCTGCTCGTAGTGGGCGATGGCCTGCGCGACAGAAAGGCCACAGTGAGCAAAGCTCGTCTTGCACGGTGCGAATGACGGCGGAGATGAAGCAGACTCGTGGCGCTTTCACCTTCTCAATGTCAACCAGCTCCGACTCGTAGATCTCCGCGATGGTGATGTGGTGTTTGGCTGCGATGGTGAAGCGACCCTGCAAGGGGACCCGGCTTGGTGATGTTCGTCATATTTCATCAATCCGCATCAATAGTCACCAAAATTACTCCACAAGGTGCTCTTGGACACGATTGCTAATGCTGCAAGACGTGTGAATGATGATGACAATGAAATCAACTGGATGTGATCAATTTGTTCGCCTAACCCAGTTCCATGTCAGGACAATACTGTACTATTTATCTGCTGTTATTCCTTTTCATTTCCCCCATATTTGGAGAAATACTAGACATATTTGATCTTACCAATTTCTTCTTTTTCCACGGAGATGTAAAACTTCATACAGTGTTCTTACAGAGTAATTACATAGGAACAGCAAGTATAACACACAATCCACCCATTCATCCATCTGTACTGATCGCTAAACAACATTTAGCTTTATTTGAATGCGGCACTGCTTCCCCCGTAGCCGTTGAAGTTGTTCCGTAAGAAATTTGACATAATTGCACATTGGCAGCCAATTTAGTGTCTATGAATTGAAATGCTGTGTGATACGAGCTCAAACGCAAGTTAACACAGGCCTCAAATGCACATCCCGCGGCCCGCGCGGTCACGGGCGCACACTCACCATGTCGGTGTAAATGTCGATGGCTTGATTTAGACAGCTGATAGCCTCTGCGGGGAAAGCAACAACCTACGTTGACATGAGCTTCCGGAGATCACGGTTGAAGACGGACGGCGCTTCTCACCCTGCGGGTCGGCCTTCTTGTAAGCGTTGCCTGCGTCCACGAAGCTGGTGGCCGAGTCCAGTTTGTTTTGAAGCTGCATGTGGAGTCGGGCCGCCTGGCAGAATGCGTTGCCGGCAGCTAACACACGCACGCAAACATACACGCTGAGTGCCGGTTTGCGCATGAGAGTTGCTCTCAAGTTGCAGTGCTGCTAATAACACAATGACAATTTCAAAAAAGACTCTAGGAGACAAACTGCGGTCGCACTTTGGATTTTGGATGTTAATGTCCACCTTTCAATTGTGCTGAGTCACGAATGGCCGTTGAGCAAGCGGTCATTTAATATGTCCGTCCAGCGGTCATCTTGCAATCGTGCGCGTGTGTGTTTTCTCACCGCTCCAGTTCTTTGCCATCTTGAACATGTTGGCTGCTCGCGCGTACATCTCACAGGCATCCTCCACCTTGTGGTTTCCACTGTAACACATGCGTGGACACGCAAACACGAGCACAATGCCTTGACTGGCGCAAATGTTGTAGCTCACGCTTCAACGGAGAAACGCAGAGAATGGCAGTTGTTTGTTTACATTCAAGCTTCAGTCAGTGTGGAGCTGTATGCGCCCAGCTCTTGAGGCCACCAACAAGCTGCTGGCGGAAAAGCAAGCCAACGTTTAAAAATAGAGAGGAGCCACTTTACGGCATTCCCTAAAAAAGAATGTATGCCACCTTCCTCTCTTTGGTGCCGCTGACACGAAGCGAAATTTTTTAAGTAGGCCGCGCGGAAAACAGACGCGAGCCATTCCAGTCATGAGTTTTGAGGACAGAGCCGAGTTACAGAGCTCATGTCGCAGCGTTCACGTTGGAGAAACTGAGATGTGAAAACACAACACCGACAGTCACTTGACCGCAGTGCCGTGTTCTCATCTTAACACGAGAACCACACCACACAAAACATGCCTGCCCACCGCATATTTACGATCCATTGCTTTTCATATTAGCTGCAGTGTTGATTCTCTTTCATCTGTTCGAGAGGGGAGTGACTAAATCGGCACCTCTGGTGATGTGCCGATGCTCCCAATTTGAGTGTGGACGTTAATTCTAATAATCACCAAAATAGGGGAAAAAAGATGATTTTCCTAAAATGTATTACATATAAAAGGGAGAGTTCTCAAAGAGTAAACGCAAGTATTTCGCTAAAACCTGAAATGAATGAACTGAACCGTACCACTAAACTTTTGAGTCATTTTGAAGTACGGTCAAAATGTAACACGTGAGCTAAAAATGTTATGCATGTATGTCTCTGTTTTCAGTAGGTTGAAAATTAATTTGGGCAAAGTTGCTATTATAATCTCATGAAAAGACGCGACTTCTCCGTAGCCACGCCCAGTTGCACCTGACGCGCGTGCGCCTATCCCCTTCATCATCGTAACACGCCGACAGCGACTCGACTGCGACGCGCTTCGTTGCGTCTACAAAGCGGCCTGAAGCTCCGCGCAGACCCCGCAGAAGTGGATGGGGAGGGGGCGGGGGAGGGGGGGGGACAGACCCACGCGAGACGAGCAACCGTCGACGTTTGGAAATCGAACGAAGGGCACAAAATTGCCCCCGCGGGTTCACATCGCTGTGAGTGACAAGCAAAACGAATCAAAGCGGAAAGAACGTCCTGAAATAACGGCGTCACATTTGGAAGAACGTGCCGCATAAAGCAACACTTGACAGAGGTTCCGCAGACGTAAACACACGCACGACGTGCAGTCACGCGCGCGCACAGCGGCCATTTACCCGAACATTCCGCCGAGAAAGGAGCCGGACGCTTTGACCTTCTTGTCGGCTTCGGCCATGAGCTGCATGGCCTCCTTCTCTTTGCCGCTGTTGTCCATGGTGGCCCGCAGGTGGCTGTGCGCTGGTCAAGGTGATGGCGGGGGATGACGCCACAAAAAGGGCCCGATGTTCCGCAGTGGAGCCGATGGCGAAGGGGGGGTGCAGGCAGGAAGACAGAAGAGCCCACTGTGCCGCGGAGGCGGGAGGCGGGCGCAAGGAGAGAATAGCCCGCTTGAGCTGGTGCTGAGGCTGAGCTGAGGCTGAGGGCAGCTCGGCAATGCTCTTCCTCTACGGCAGGATAGGGCAGGGCCTCTCGATCGCCCTCCACTGGACGAAAAGTGAACATCAGAAACCCAGAGGCCGTCTGCTTTTGTGCCACAGCGAACAACATACGATGGCTTCTGTCAATAGTATTCATACTTATATACATATGATGAATACATTTATTTGGTGGTATGCTCGACGCTAATTTTGCTGAAAGTTATATGGATCTTTTAGGACAACAATGGCTTGCGAATCACATTTGGATGCCGCATAAAAAAGACCACTTGATACCCACTGATCACAGCAGGATGCCTCTTCTATTTGACAAGTGTTGGTCGCCGAGGGAGTGGGGTAGGGGGCGCTGTGATGTCACCCTCACCCTGGTTTGAAACCCTAACCAACATTTAAAACACATTTTAAAATGAGATTCAATGAACAGTTTTGCACCCTCATTTTATTTAATAATGAAATAACATCACAATATCACGGTGATTTTATTGCAGAGTGTTCATTTTGATCTAGCTTTTTGGGGTGGGGGCATTTTATTTTTTTGGTTAGGGCCCGACAGGAGAACATCATGAGCCTCAAAATATGTTTTTGATTTGAAATGTACCACTAGAATCCGAGGAAATGGATCAACAAAAGAATTATTTTTCTTGCTGGCAAACTCGTGTTCTCATGTCCAAGAATATGCAGAGCAAGGTTTTCCGACGTGCTGTTGAAATGAGATCCAGTCCAAACAAAGAAGAAGTGCAAAGCAAAGCATGCGCAGTCGATGAAGTGATGAATGCTCAATACTTGGCACATGCGGACCAGTGAAATCTGCCACGGGGAAAAAAATTGTCACCGGTTCACATATGGGCCAATCAAAAAGTTTCCCGCCAAAAAGTTGTTGGATGCAGTTGAAAGTTCAGACGCAAGAAGCTCCTTTTTTGCTTTCGAGAACAAAACGACAACAACCACAAAAAAATAAATAATAATCATCACAAATAACATTTGTTAGTCCTTATTCACACCATGGGGGAGGGAGAGCGTTTTGATTTGACGGCTGTCATTTGAAAATGTCACTCTGAGCTGAAAACAAAGACGTCATGCAACCGAGTCTACACGGATGCTGCCGTTAGCACTCAGAGGAATCTTCGGATGGCTTTGAAAACTGTTGTTGTTTGGTTTTCGGCGTGTAAAAGAAATGACATCATGATCACAAGTCCCGTTGGATCGTTCGGATGCCGCAACTCGATGAGGCTAACAGTCGGTGGCAAAGGCGCCGTTGCGAAAGTCTCGCCTTGTTGAAATAAGCGCAGCGTCAAACTTCATGCGGGGAGAGCGAGAGAAAACAAAAGGCCAAAAGACATTCCAGTTGAACACGTGCCGCTTGCAGACATGACCGATGACCCCCAAAAGTTGATCTCCAGTCTTGGATTTGACTTCATCAAGTAAATCAAGAGAATATGAAAAAAAAAATACGACCACCACTACTACTACGACTGATAATAATAAAATAACAGAATCCAAACATGCTTTAAACCGGTTCAAGGTCCAGGATGGAGGATTTAGTTTGGGTGTAGGCCAAAACCAACAAAACCAAACGGGCTATTGTTGAGCCAGGAAGCTTGGAAGGTGGCTGAATAGGTAGCAAGGAACACCTCGTCGCGAGGAAGGAACGCTGGTCCGAGGTAGACGGCCACGTAGGATGAAACCTTTGGACTACCAACACAAAGGATAAATAGACAAGTTGAAGTCAACATTGTAGGCGGCGAGTTAGGAAAGAAGGAAGCTAGCTCGATATGGAGCTGGGTTGTTGGTGATGTTCGACGTGTTGATTGGGAAGTCGCTTCGCTTGGCAGATGGGCAACGGAGGTCAAGCGGCTAGGGAGGAAGGTAGGCCGGGGGGGCAGAAACGGCGAATCTTGTTTCGGTCGGTAGGAAGAATCGTTGGTCGTCCGGGGCCGCCTCCGGACGCTTGAGCCAAGTCCCAAGGAAGCGTCCGCCCCGCCGCATTGCGAACGGACGGCCGCTTTCTCGCTTTGGACTTTTCTCGACGCGGTCTTCAGTCGTCCTCGGAGAGAATCTCGTCGGGGGTGGACGCTCGGGACTTGCTGTGCCCCCGGACCTCCGGCCTCCTGTCCCGCAGGAAGTCTCCAATCTCGCCGGGCAATCGCTCAAACTTCTCCTGGAACTCGGCCTCGATGGCGCCCTGCAGCTGAATCGCAGCGGCAAAGTCGCGAGTCTCTGTCGGTGTTTTGTTTTGTCTCACATTTGTCGATTTTTTTTTTTTCTTTTCATATTTGGAGCAGTCCTGTTTTTTCGGCTGTCATTGCCTCGCGAAATGTTTTAACTGAGATCCGTCATTTTGCTCACTATGATGATGATATGAAACTTTCATCCTGATAAGTGTTCCGTTTTGAAGTCGTGCGCGCCCGTCTTTTCATGGCGGAGTAGTTTGGCTGCGTACCTTGGGTTTCTGTTCTTGTATCTCCTGCAGCAGTTGATTGTGCTGCTCCACCAGCTGCTCCTGCCGCTTGGCCTGGGTCTCCTCCAGCTACAAGCACAAAACAAACAAACAAAAACAAAAAAACAGACACACGCAAGTGACTTTGTAGCACGGAAGGACAAAAAGATGCGCAACTTCTGCGTGCGCTCACCCGTTTGATGTTCTGCACCACTTCATTGACGTACGACTTATTGATCTCCATCTTTTCTCTGCAATACGCACACACACACACGCGCGCGCAGACAGATGAGATGAAAGCCTTCCCAAGAAATAAGTCCAGCGAGGAGTGGAATGCCGATGACGCGATGAGTCAAGCGCTCATGAGAAATCCTACTCTTCTGCTAGATGTTTCTCTTTGGTCTTAGCCAAGTTGATTTTCTCGGTTCTTCTGCGGTCCATTTGCCTCTTCAGCTCCTTCTTCTCCCTGAGTCGGCGGCAAAAACACACTGTCAATATGGTCTGCCGCGACAATGGATGGAGTGAAGTGAGTGAATGGATGGGAAGTGGCTGCGGAAATGGGAAAAAAAAAAAAAAAACAAGCCGACGCAACCACAATCTCTTCAGCTCCAACGCGAGAACTTACTTGCCGCAGACGTCTTTGAGTTTCTTCATCTGCGTGCTGTGACTCTCCTCGGCCAGGCTGCTCAGTCGCTCGTTCAGCTGGAGGGGCGAGAAAGGTTCACCATCTTAATGCCTTGCTTCTTGCGATTTTTTCAGTTGATTACAGGAACCAGAGACCGCCCCCTCATATGTGTCCGTCGAGACCAGGCCTTGCGTCTGCCATGTCGGCTCAAGCCAACTCCCAAATTCCCGCCTGCGCACCATAGCAAGCACCCGCGCGCCCGCAGAGCAGCTGAGGACTCGAGCTCCTCCACGGAGGGGAGGCGGCGGACGCGGGCTCACCGTCTTGACGTGTTCCCTCTGCAGGTACTTTTGGCTGTAGTACTGCTCCTGCCTGAGCGCCACAAGCTGCTCGTGCTGCTCGTCTCGCAGCGACCGGAGATGCTCGTCGGGCTCCTCGGACGACGAGCTCCTGAGCAAACGCGCGCACAATTTAGTGGCGGGCGCGCCCGATTTGGCGAGGGCAAAATGTGCGCTTTCCCACCTGCTCTTGCTGCACCGTCTGGCCGCCTTCTTGTACTTGTTGTTGATGTCTCGCAGGAGCTCCGAGGTCTTCTTCTGGTGTCTCCTCACCAGCTCCTTCAGCTCCTTGAACTGACGCCGCTGCTCCTTCTGGTACAGTTTGGACTGCTGCAGGCTGGCCAGCGTGCACACGGGCAGGTCTGTCAACAGCACAGTTGAACGATCACACAGCAGGTGGGCAAAGTCTGGGGCGGGGGCCCGCAGACAGCCCTCTTCCCCAGCGGGAGCAAAAACCCCGACCTTAAAACCAGGGTGCGTAGCAAACGCCACAGTGATAGCTGGCAAACGGCGACGCCCCTTGTGGTTTTGTCAACATGGTTTGTGGCTGGCGAGCTTCACTTTCAATAAGCGAAGCACATACGAACGCCAGAGAGAGGTTTTACGGACTGACCTATCAGAACGCTTAACACCAAATCTTCATTCTTTGCTGCTGGTTTGGCCGCATCTAAAGGGAAGGACAAGACAAGAAACCCATCAGGAACATCCAGTCACCAAGTCACCACGACAGTAATCGGTCCAGGTCATGCGATGGCAGAGCACTTGCAAAACTTTTACTTTGATCCAGAGACACATCATGGACCGCCTGCCATTGTAGCCGTTTTCCAC